AAGGGACCGAGGCTAATCACAAATTACGTCCCCACGGTAACTGAAATAAACACGAGTGTTCACCGGTTGGTATAAGCGTCTTACGTAGGCTCCACGCCACAGCTGATGAATGATGTATGTGTAGTCGAATAGGTTCGGATTCCAGGAAATAGTTACCACATTCAGCTCAGAACAGCTGCCAGCTGCCCCGCCAGCCAAGATGAGTTCAGGGATTCTTCAGTTGAAGTTTAATTCCATCGATGTCCAGCACGGCATAAGTATGGGTTGATAAGAGTCTCCTACTTCCGTTATCCATCAGCGACGTTATTAGCGCAGAAAGTGACCTCACGCGAACAAACCCATGAAGACATGCCTAAAACGAAAAACACCAAAATCAATTTTCAGCATCTCAAATCAAGACAAAAAACCTCACTCACTCTTGCACGAGTTCAGGGAAAGCGCTAATGTTTTGAAACTTCCCAACAGAATACCTAATGCGATCGCTTGTTGAATACAATATTAAAGTATCCACACTACTCCCGGCTGATCGCCATCCGTTTTTGAGGCCAGGCAGGATGATGAATAAAATAAAATGTCTGTAGGCGGAAGCAAAACATGAGGTTCTCGATGTCAATATCGGTGTTGGCTGTTTCAAAAATTGACTGGAGCATAGACGAATCAATGGGGCTGTGAAAAAAGTAATTTTTTAATAAATGTGAACCTGTTGAAGAAGCGTTTTTCGACATTTCTAAAATTAATTACTCACTCAATATCCGAGACGGTTCTGCTGCTGCAAAAATGAACGCAATACATTTTGGCGCGAAGTAAACGGCTACTGAAACTTCAGTGCTGCTAGTAAACAAATCGATGTGAAAAGGTATATTGACAGTTGAACAACTTTCCTTTTAAAAATGCACTTTTAAAATTACAAGTCAAAAGTGAAAAAAACACATTCAAACAAAACATTTTATTTTCATTTTGAATATTTTCGCAGTTAATACTACGAATTTTGGTAACCTTTCAATATGAAAATGCATTGTTTTTATTGATACAATTTTTGTTGTTTGTGTGTAGCTGCTTGCGGGAAGATGACCTTGACAAATGTCCAAATAATACTCTTAACAAACTTTTGGTGGCCCTGAAAAGGAACGTTTTGTAGTGATGGTTGAGTAATTCTGAGTTGGGTGTTCAACGCGGATGAGGCTGTCGAGCTGTATGTCGTTTGGAGCGAGGGTGACCCGCTTGGCATAGATGACCGACCCGCAGCGACTCACGAAGAACTACTGATTCCGATCCATAGCATAGCGGTGCAGCTTCTTCCTCCTTTGATGGTTGCTTATGTGGGCTCTGCAGCTCGCTGCTTGCAGGCAGTCTTTCGTTGTTACTGGAGAACAATTTTCAACGCCACACGCCAAAAGCACTGCTACCATAGGGGTAACTCTAAGACTAGAAGCTCCCGAAATAACGTGCTCAACTTATTGGCTCAGCTCTGGTACTCTCTTCGGTCCCAAGCTAATCGATTCACCCCTCAAAACATAGGAAAATCCACTAACCCCTCATTTTATCTGTCAAACTTTCATAGCGAATTAAAACAAACATTGTGTAGTAGTAGAATTTCGACTAGAATGGGATACGTTAATCGTTTGCTTGGGACCAATAGACTAGTCAAGTAGTGAGCCAATTTAAAATCGTTAGTTTCGTATTGATTGTTGCTGCTACTGCTGCTTCTGCTGCTACTAATTTCGACGACCGAACACCACCACACAGTGGTGTGGTCGTTAGGAGCGTGTGGTTCTGAGTATGGCGATGAGTGTGCAAAATATTACGCAATTCCATCCTCCCTATTCGCACGCGCCCGAGGATCGGAGGCGAATGCCACTTCTACTTGTTTCGTCTACTTACTACTCTCTGACGACTGTGCTGGGGAAGCAGCATATGCATGTAGGTAATTGGTGGATTTGTTAGTTAATTCGACGCTTTTGGACAATGCTGTATATTCACCAGTTTTTCAATAGTTTCTTGTTGAAAATCAACATTCGGAAGCATTGTTATCGATGCGTAGCCATATTTCTGATCGATTGGTGATAAAATTATTGAAATTGGACTAGGGGCAGCTGAGTTATTACCGTACAAAATCTTTCTTAATTTGTAACATGTTCCATTTTCGGTTTTCACAAAGTGTACCCCCATATAGAAATCAAAGACGTAGTTCTACGTCAAAAAAAATCGCAAGGATTGCGACACTGTAAGTGCTCAAAAACTCTTGAAACTTTACCAGAAGTTTGTAAAAAGTCATCAAATTTCAAGATCATCGAACTTTTGGCTTCAGAGATACAGTCATTTGAATAGCGCATTTGGGCCAAAAAAGACCTGAATACCATCGCAAGGTAAAAATTGATAACAATTCAATATTTTCTGTCTGACTGATTTTTTGTTGTTTACCTTTTTGACTTTTACCAAAGACATCATATCAAGAAGACTGGCAACTTTGCCAAAATCCAAGAGACAGATACAATAGTGCTGCGCTTGAGTGAAGGTGGAAGCAACGCTTAGAAAAATGAGCAAATACACAAACCTTTCTTCTGAGAATGTAATCTTTGCTATCAAATTCGTTTGAAGCATTTACCTTTAAGCGGCAGATAACGCGATTGTACCTGTCTCATAGCGTTCGTATGAGAAAATTGAAGAGTTGCCAGTCTTCTTGATTTGTTGTCTTAGCTTTTACCCATACCATAAGTTTTGAATGTATGAGTGAAAGGTTCATCAACCTCGAAAAAAAATTCGGGTTCGAACCTCGTCGTTTTTCAGGTTGCTTGGTTACCGACACACCGACATGAATGATTATACAAAGAAATTTCTGATCCAAGCACAAAACTGACATCTGCCGCCGTGTTCGCAGAAAATATCTATCCTAGCCACGAACACGCGTAGAAAATTTATGAGTTGGTTTGTGTCTAATCTATTTCGGACATTTCTATGGTTTTGACAGATAGGATCGCTGTACATTTGAATCGGCCGTTATGAATTCTCGATCAAGAGTTAAGTTTAAGTGTCATGTAGGTTTGTCGGTGGCTTGGTGGTGAACCTACACGGTAAGAAAAAAGCATCGTCGTGTACAGTAGACTGATGCAAATATTGACTTTTTCGCTCCACAGTGCTTAAATGGTTTCAAATCGGGTCCTGATTAGCCTCCCAAAGTTACTACTCATTTGATTAGAAATAGACTTCGCACAAGCCATTTGAAGTTTACATGTAAATTACTATGGAAAATCTCAACTTTATGTTCATTGCCTTCTATTCTTTTTCCATATTGAGCTGCGAAACAGTTCGATAGCCATTCTTATAGAATATTTTCTCAGCTACAACTTTGCTGAAGATCGTTTCTATGTAAAACTAGACAGGAAAAAGTTATTAATTATTTAAGAGATTGGTAAACTTATGACATGATCAAGCAGCTGCTCTGTAGGCAACACTGTATTTTGCAGTGTGACATAGTAACCATGATTTTTGTGTCCTATTCAACGCCCCAGAAACACCAATGTTGCCTGCTGAGCAGTTGATTGAGCATGATCATAAGACATCAGCGCATTGAACCATTGATAACATTCGATCCTTGCATTTAATCAAAAAGTGGTCTTCAGCATAGTTGTAGCTGGGAAAATTTCCTACAAGTACAATTCGAAGCAGACCGATATGGTGAATTATTAGATAGACATGAACAAAAATCTTGGTTTTACCATAATAACTCCCATACAAACTTCAAATGGTTTGTGTCATCTCAGTTTCTCACCAAATGGGTTTAAATTTCGAGAGGTTAGTCAGGATCCGATTTGGAATCGTTTAAGTATTGTGGAGTGAAAATTTCAAATTTTGCATCACTCTAGTGTACAGCTTCCTAGATCGTGTGTTATTACGTTGGCGATAGTTGATTTTCGGACATATTACCGCCATCTGTTGAGTAAACTGTGGCGGGTAGTACGCTGAACAGTGTGTAAACATAAAACGCGAGGGAATTTACTATGCGCGCCACAGGTGGCAGTACTACCAACTGAGATACTTTCAAATTGTCCGTAAAATGCTTGTTCGATGAACAACTTATGAGTGTTATGTCTGTTTGTTTGTGGAGGGGTGTTAAGGTTTTTAAAATACTCGATTAAAAGAAATACGTCAAGTTTATGTCGACCAAATTTTGATCGTAACACCCTTTAAACTTCTAATAATTCAACAAGTTTTTCGACCAGCCATTGTTTATGCTGTGCCAATTTGGTCTAGTTGTTGCACTACTAGACTAAATGCAGACATCTTTTTCAGTGGCAGGTACTCATTGTTTGAAGTCTGTAAAAGGGATTTTTAGAGTTTTTGACTGCTCATGGCTCTCAAGCATGTAGAAACGATGTAAAACGGTAAAATTAGCACCAGAAAAAGTGAACGACTCTTTTTTTCAAATATTTGTATTGCAGTCAATGTGTATATCCCAGAGAATCAATTTCTAAAATTCTTCAAGTGACTAATGAGATGCACCACGTGCAAATTTTCCGTTTGTTTCCGAATATAAAAGTATTGATAAACCATTCGACACGTTAACAGGACATTTCAACCTGATTGTTTTGGCTGGTTTAAATCAATTAGTAATGAATTGGGAATATTTGAAGTAAATAAAGTTTTAAATCTTAAAAAATACTATCTGAATATGCTGCGCTTTCAACTTACTGATAAATTTATTTGTCTTGAAGCATCAATGGCAGAAACCGTTGTAATTTGTGCTCGGATTTACATCTATAAGCCTTACCCACGCAATCACGCCACCGCCAGTCCACGTCCGTCGCCACCAAAACCAATTTGTCCCAATTTCCATAAATTCTTCTTAGCGCATGCATAAATGACCACACAGGCCCCAGAGTAATTCTACGCTGATGCCTTGGATGTCCTTGGAAGGGATATTAATTATGCTGTGTAACATTTTCGCACCTCTCTCTAATCCGTTTCCGTTCCTTTCTTTTCCCCCACCGCCCGTCATCTAGCACATGGACAATGTCGTCGAACTGCACAACAAGACGCCCATCTGGAACGACGAGACGCAATCGTACGTGCTCAACTTTCACGGCCGGGTCACGCAGGCCTCGGTGAAGAACTTTCAGCTGGTGCACGACTCCGATCCGGAATACATCGTGATGCAATTTGGGCGGACATCGGACGATATTTTCACCATGGATTTCCGCTACCCGCTGTGCGCATTCCAGGCGTTCGCCATCGCCCTGAGCAGCTTCGACGGAAAGCTGGCGTGCGAGTAATTCTCCGAGAGAGGGGGGAGTGTACTTTCTTGTAGGTTTTAATTGGAATTGGTGCGTTATTAGCCGTATCACGCACGTAATTGGAGAAGGAATAAAGCAAACGAAACTTCATCAGGTAACAAATTAGGAAAGTGAAACACTTGATTAGAAGCGAACACATTAGAAATGCCACCCGAGGACGATGACGGTCTCCGGAAGGCCTCTCAATTAGAGCAGTAATAGTGAATAGATGAAACTGCAAGTCGATTCAGTTGGAGTGTTAGCTTAAGTCGAAGAAGAGAACGAAACAAAGATTTCTACGTACGGTTTAATGTATAGTGACACAATGAAGCGCTTGGAGGTAAACAAAAATAACAAAAGTTGAGTTCAAGCTAGGAATATAGAAAAAAAAAAAAAAAAATATAAGCAGGAATCTGTAAAGAGCTTTGATTAATAGTAGTTTAGAACCCACAAGATGAGAGAGTAATATTTATTTTTGTTTTAGGATTATGGAGACGATGAGTGGAACAGCTGAACCGGAGCTGTTGTGATTGATTTGAATCTTGTGCTGTTTGAAAAAAAGAAGGTTTATCTTAAATTTGATTGAAATCAGCAGAATGACTTACTTGATATTTAGAGAAGGTCGTGGATCTATCTGAATATTCATATGTGCCTTTGTTAGATATTATAATTGAATTGCAGTGCAGTAGACTTGAGATGTGTCCATTTACTCTAGCAACAGTAGCTTATTAGAAACATTTCCTTAGGTAGGTTCGATTAAATCTCAAGCATCTACTACTACATGTTTGTATAAAAAAAATTAAAAAAAAACTTTCATGATGGTAAAAATTTGCTAACCGTTTGGACATCTCATATGTTGATTAAAAATGTAGAAATTGAAGAATCGCTACCTATTTTGAACTATACTACTGTGATTTCAGAAATCTTGCTCAACTGAACATGTTTGACGAAGACGGGAAATATTTTATATGGTTAGGAAGATGAGATTTAGTACAAAATAATATTTTACCTTTTCATAATCAACTTTTCTTATGGTAAGGTATATAAATATCTGCTCCACTCAAAATCCGGACACTTTATTTATTCTATAACAGCGCCTTGAGTGGTCGAATTTTGATTATTTTGACTGCGATTTGTTTTGAAAGTATTCATGTTTCAGTGGTGAAAGTTTCGTCTCGTTTCATGCAGAATTAAAAAAAGTTGTAAGGTGGGGTAAAAGTTCGACCTTAGTGGTCTTTTATTTTTTTTTTTAAATATGTTATTAACAAAATTATAACAAGGAAAGTATGCTGCTTTTATTCAGCAACTATTAATCTCCCTACTGAGAAAATGCAGGCTCATTCAAGTAACCATTCCGGTGTTAAAAATATTCACCCCTATTCTGTATTTCGTTTCGAACGAAATTCTCATACAAAAAAATATGTTTTGTATGAGAATTTCGTTCGAAACGAAATACAGAATAGGGGTGATTATTTCATAAAAGCCCTCGAAACGAACTTTGTGGGAAATGAATGTCGTGGGGCAACAGTTCGACCTTTCAAATGACATCAGTTATGCATATAGTCGCATGGTACAATTTTAATGTTTCTCAATCTTAACTCTCTTCTTAGCAGACTGTGCTTCCTTGAAAAGTTTCTTGCGTTTGCTGGATGTGTTGACAGTTTCTGTGCTTGCTTTTTAGCCTTCAGTTCCATTTTTTCCTTGAATGGTTTAGTGGCAATAACTTCGGATCGTTGACCTCTCTTCCGTCTTTGTTGTTGCTCCACTCGTTTCGGCAGGGGCCTGATTTCTGCAAAGGAAACCGGATCGGACGACTTGGTGCACATTGGTATGATCGATGTTGAGTAATTCTCTGAGCACAGTGTCTCTAGAGATTCCAGGACGTTTCGAAGGGAAACCAGGAGCGACTTCAATCTCTCACTGCACTCAGCATGTTGGTTGGAAGCGCAGGAGGATGTCAAATCGGTTTTGGTGGATTTTGTATTGGGCATTGTAGAAGGAACAGATATCTGCTGAAGTGTCACATTCGATTTAATGCTTAATGGCTGATTTTCGATTTTCGAAGCGGTATTTCGTTTTACAGATCTTGTTTTATTGTTTTATTGTTGTTTTACATCAACAGGCTGGATGAGGCCCCAATGATGTTAACCTTATCAACTATGGTAAAAAAATACATTCAAGCATGGTCATAACATAAAAAACATATATCTTACAGTCAGTTACTCCTGCCGGCGAAAAACAGAAGAAAACTTTCGATGAAGCGCATCACGGGAGAGATGAAAGTCGAAAACAGATGCAACTCTGTTGAATGTTCTCTGCAGTCCGCAAATCGCACCGTACTGAGCGATCTGCTGTTCTTGCTTAGCCATTTCCTTCCTAAGCTCAGCGTGTGCGATTTCCTGTCTCTCGGTGATAGAATTAATCACACTGCCAAACGACGAGACGGCAGTTTTGAACCGAGCACATTTCATCAGCTTCGCGCACTCGTTGCACATCCAAAACAGGTTCGGGCTAGTGTGGACAATGTTCAGAAAAGCCTTATTCAGCCTTTTCCGCACTTTAGGTGAATCATCCTGTCGCAAAAAGCCATGCAGGAGACGGATTCTTCATCGCCTTTAACTGGTTTAGCGCATTGGTCACAGGCGGAAGTCATGTTGACTCAGTTTCCAAAAGTGATTTAGAAACAGCGGTGGAGATGCTCTAATACGCAAAGAGGAATTGGATTCTCAAGATCGCCCAATGCTAGTCGTGTACAATATGTCCGATTGGATAATTTTTTTCACTGTTTTCACAACACAAAATATGCTCTAATTAGACGGTTATCGCAACGATCTACACTTTCCACTAACAACCAGTACAATATTACAAGCATACCGAACGGAAAAAAAAACGAATAACGATAGCCCGTGTCATAAAAAATTGACAAATTTAGCAGCGCAAAATCACAACGATGTGAATAACAACAACTCTATATCAATCTCTTCTCATAATTTGAGGTAATGTTATCGGATGATTCCACGAGTGCTGCCATCGGTGAGGGAAGCTCCGCTGCATCTGTACAGACGGAGGTTGTGGCTTCCGGCTCAACGTTTTCTTTCGATTGCTCAATATTTGTCACTTCACTTGGGGCAAAATCTTGGTCTGTAAACACTTATGCATGCTTATGACGGCTTTTTCAATTGTTGCATATCTGCAGTAAGCCATCCCAGTAGTTCAGCCACTTGATATTGGGTAATGACCCTTCCAAGATGAAACACAAGCCAATGATTACAAGCTTCAGCATATTTGGTCTTGAGGGCCTGAAAGAAACAACGATCCAACGGTTGGACTTTGTGGCTACTGTGTGGTGGGATAGACAGCAACATAATCCCATTTTCTCGACAGTAGAGAACTGTTTCCAACGATTGATGCGTGCTGTGATTGTCCAAAATGGGCAAGACCGGGTTCCCCTTTGTTGCGTTGGTGTGTTTCTGAAAATGCTGTGTCCATTGGAAGAAAATATCCGAGTTTATGTATCCTGAATCAGAGACGAACATTTCCGTTCCTGGAGGTGCCCCGTTGAGTAGTTCCGGCTTTTGGCGCTTTCTCTTGAAGATCAAGACCGGTGGCAAGTAATTCCCAACAGCACTCATCGCGCATACCGCTGTGATCAGCTCTCCTCTCTCAGCCGAGCTTATTTTCCCAACCGCTTTCTTTCCGGATGTAGATACGACTTTCGGGACATTGTTGGGCACTGTGGACATTCCTGTTTCATCCATATTGTAGATCCGATCTGGTATAAAGCAATACCAACAATCAATACGAAACTAACAATTTTAAATTGGCTCACTACTTGACTAGCCTATTGGTCCCAAGCAAATCGATTAACGTACCCCATTCTAGTCAAAATTCTAGTACTACACTCTGTTTGTTTTGATTCGCTATGAAAGTTTGACAGATAAAATGAGGGGTTCGTGGATTTTCCTATGTTTCGAGGGGTGCATCGATTAGCTTGGGACCAAAGATAGTACCAGAGCTGAGCCAAAAAGTTGAGCACGTTTCTTCGAGACCTAATGGATTCGCCATTAGCAAGTCTTTGCTGGGCGATTTCCACCATATCGGAAGAGCACACCTTCCGCTCCGATTTTCGTTTGTAAGTCCTGTAGAATACAAATGCATAATTATTCTGACTGGAACTTTTGCCCCACTAGCGATTCGAACTTTTGCTTCACTACGCATTCTTGAAGTTTACACCAAATCGTGCAGAGTTATGGAAATATTTTGAAATTTGTATCACAACATCTTTTAGTTATTGGTACTGCTTAAACAAGGCACAATTACACTTTTCCAAAATCTGCAGTTTTGTTAACTAAAACACGTTTGCCATAAACAAAAATATTACATTTTTCTTGATAAAAAACAATGTTACCTCATTATTCCGACCACACGCAATGTAAACAAGCAATGTTTACATCTGAAGGGAAGCTGTCAAAACACTTAATAATCCATGCCAGTGTTGCCAATTTCACGGTAGGCTGTGTTGAAAAAACTACAAAATGAACTTTTGCCCCACCTTACTCTACTAGATGGAAGACGAGAACAGAATATTGATCCTGCACACCGTTTTGTTGGTGATGAAAAGCTTGGCTTATCGGCTAAACCAAACTTCAATTTGCTGGGGACATCACACCGTGCTGTGACCAGATACAACTTTTGTCCGGGAACCTGCCTGAAATCCATCTTGATATAGGTTTCTTCGTCCATGAGAAGGCATCTTCTGTATTTCGTCAGAACCTGGTCGTACACCTTACGGGCGCGTGTTCTGGCCACTACATTTGGCTTCATCGTCCTGTTCGGTTGCTTGAAGGCACGAAATGAACGGTAATCTGTTCGTAGACGGATCATCCGAACGGTACTATGGCTGGCACCGTATCCCGATCCGAGAGTCCTGGGTTTCTCTTGATCGACCTCAACACCTTCCAGTTCAGCTGCCGATCCAAAGTTCTAGCACGACGTTTGCTTATAATCTTCCGGGTCATACTTTTGCGATCACGGAGCCGCTTGAGAACGTCTCCAACTGTAAGAACGGCAATTTTCAATTGTTACGCGATATTTCGAAGTGACCACGTCGGCTTTTCGACGTGGGCGTGCAGGATCAATTTTCTTTTCTCGTCTTTCATCTAGTACAACTTTTATACTGATCGTATCGAGACGAAACTTCCACCACTGAAACACTTGTACTTTAAAAACAAATCGCAGTCAAAACATTCCAAATCTGACCACTAGAGGCGCTGTTATAGAATAAATAAAGTGTCAAAATTCTAAGTGAACCAGACTTTGATATAACGCACAATGGAAAAAAACGGGTTCGTAATCGTACTTAATTAGATGGCACTAGTTTGAAGGCCTACAAATACAAGCAATCGATTGGTGATGGTCCCATCTTGTGCAGATTGCACGATTCTCCCCAAAATATATGATAGAACCTAGTAAAACGATTGAAAACCTATTTTGCACCCGAGAAATGAACTCAAATAGCACCCATCTATTGTAAAATATCAGCGAATTCGTGTGCTATTCCATATTGTGTAGACCTCAAAACATGGTCCATTTTGCCCGATTCTCTCCAAATACATGATAGATCCTAATAAAACAATAATTGACGACTGATTTGGGACTCTACAATAGACGGGTGTTTTGTTTTTTCCTTGATTTGTTGCTGAGCACCAACGCTACCGACTCCAGGGAGGCAGCTCCCATACCTGGAGTCTACCTATCGACCCATCAACTCATGAACCGGGGACCAACGGCTTTACTTCTCTTCCGAAGAAAGGCGTGATCCGAGATGTTATGCCTCAGAACATCCCGGCGGCGCCGACTGGGATTGAACCCAGGCCTGCTGCGGTGAGAGGTAATCACGCTTACCCCTACACCACCGGCGCCATTAATAGACTGGTGCTGTTTGAGTTGAATTCCCGTGGGCCAAAACAATTTTCAAACGCTTATCAGCTTCAATCATGTACTTTGGGGGAGAATCGGGCAAAATGGAACGTTTCTTGGGCTCTACACAGTATGAAATAGGTGGCATTTGATTAACACGATCTTTTTACAATGGATGGGTGCTATTTGAGCTAATTTCCCAGGTGACAAATAAGTTTTCAAATGCTTTAATAGCTTCTATCATATATTTGGGGAGCATCGGGCAAATTCAACCATTTCAATAACTGCACAGTATAAAATGAGTGACATTCGAATTCTCTGATATTTTTACAATGTAAAAGTGCTATTTAAGTGCATTTCCCGGGTGCCAA